AGCTTCAAAGATTGATTTTCATCGATAGTAATTTGATTTTTCAGTCGATAGATAATTTTTTTCTGAGTTCGACAAGTCAATAGATGGTTTTCACTCGATAGATAATTTCTTCACAGCTCAAAAGATTGATTTTCAGTCGATAGATAATTTTTTTTTCTGAGTTCGACAAGTCAATAGATGATTTTCACTCGATAGACAATTTCTCCCTAGTTCACAAGTTAAAACATCAACTTTCACTTGATAGATAATTTCTTCGTAGCTTAAAAAGTCAATAGATGATTACACTCGATAGATAATTTTTTTTTCTGAGTTCACAAGTCAATAGATGATTTTCACTGAATAAATTTCTTCCGAGTTCGACAAGTCAATAGATTTTTATTCGATAGATAATATCTTCCTAGCTCACAGGCCAATATTTGATTCCTCACTCGATAGATAATTTGATTGATTTTCACTTGATAGACAATTTCTCCCTTTCTCTTTTTAGTTCACAAAATAGATATTTTCACTCGATAGATCATTTCATCCTATTTCAAAAAGCCAATAGATAATGTCTTCCTGGTTTTCACAAGTCAATATCTGAATTTCCACTCGATAGATAATTTCCTCCTAGTTCAACAACTCAATAGATAATTTTACACTCGATAGATAATGTCTATCTAGCTCCTTTAAGAAAGCGATCCAGTCCATTTTTACATTCAATATTTCAAAAAAAAAAAAAAAAAAAAAAATAAAATATTTTTACATTCAAAATATCCACGATAGAAAGATCAGTTACGTGTAAAATTATTCCTGTGTCTGTATCAAATTCCAATGTCCTTTTAAATTACATGATTCCGAAATTACAAAAATCTTTGAGACAAAATACAATTAATGTGCAAAAAACGTGTTGGAATTTTTAAAATAATCATTACCATTATTAAGGCATATTATCATATTATTATTAGTATCATTATCATAACATTGTCTTTATTAAAATCATCATCATCATTCCTTTATCATTATTATTATTATAATATTATTATTTCTTATTATCATTATTTTTTATATAATTATTTACTATTATTCATATCATCATATCTCATTCTTCAGTATTCAACTATAGTACTATTATCATTATTTCATCATTAGTAGTACTAGTATATACATTATATTTTACTATATTCATTATTATTCATTATTTATATTATTATTATTATATTATTATTATATTATTATTATTATTATATTATTATCATTATTATTCATTATTATTATATATTATTATCATATCATATCATTATATATTACCATTATTACCATAAAGCTTAAGAAAAGCTGGGGTCAATGACCTTGCGTAAGGACCAATGATGAAGAGCGTCACCGCTGAGTTGCAACCTGTAAACATAAACCAAACACAAGAAAAATACAATAAGCTAAAACCAAAAACAACAATAATAAAAAAAAAAATAATAAAAATAATACATCGTACAGCACAACGAAAGAAACCAAAAACAGATTACGAAAAAAAAAAAAAAATAAAAAGAAGGAATTGAACATAAATCGCAATATATAACAAGACACAAAATAACAACCAAAAACAACAACAGGAAACTCAAACTCTTGCAACAACAGATTGCAGAAGAGAGAGAGAGAGAGAGAGCGAGGAGAGAGAGAGAGAGAGAGAGAGAGAGAGAGAGAGAGAGAGAGAAGAGAGAGAGAGAGAGAGAGAGAGAGAGAGAGAGAGAGAGAGAGAGAGAGAGAGAGAGAGAAACAGTGAGAACCGCCATTAATCTTTTCAACAACGGGATAAAACACACGAAAGAGATTTTTTCAAAAATTGGCGGCGGTTACTTCCCCCATTAATCCATTTGGAGCTTAAGCGAGGACCGATTTAATACGTGGATTACGATGAAAAGATTTAATTGATGACTGTTTTATCCCTCTTCTCCTGCCCCCCCCCCCCCTCCCCCCTTAACACTAAAATGTCATCAATATCTTCTAATGCATTTTGGAGAATTCCTATCACCCCCAAAAATAAATAAATAGATAAATAAATAAAAAATAGATAGAAAATAAGCAAAAAATCAACAATAAAAACTAATAAAAACATAAATATCCTCATTATTTAAATAAATCATAAATACTTAAAACATCACGAAAATAAACCATAATAAAATAAAACGTATTAAAACCAAACAAAACCAAATAAAAAAAGAATGTACAAGAGAAGAAGAAAAAGAAAGAAAAATCGCTTAATATACATTTTTCTTTTCTTTTCTTTCCTCAAAAAAAAAAAAAAAAAAAAAAAAAAAAAGTTTCCCCTGAACAGGTGTTGCTGATCCCAACAGATGGCGTTGTCTGCACGCTGGAGACGCCGATCCCATCAGCTACGCTTTGCTTGCTTGTTTCAGTTTGCTTCCTTGCTTTAATCTGCTTGTTTGCTTCCTTGCTTCAATGTTGCTTGCTTTAATCTGCTTTTTGCTTCCTTGTTTCATCCTTGCTTTAATCTGCTTGTTTG